TTTACAATAAAACATCTTCCATACAAATTGCAACTTGCTATGAACAATTTTAAATTATGCAACGTGTATTTTCAACAAATGAATTTTTATAAGGAAAGATCCAACACGTACAGTACATTATATTTAACGCTAAAGTATTTTCTGTAAAGAATATTTTATTTCCTTCATCTGTTGAGTGATTGTTGGAATTTTTAATGATACAAGTGCTTAACTATCTTTTCACTAAGTATATTGCTGTGTAATTCTATGTTATTACGATAACTTTATCTCATTTCCAAATCGTTTGTAAATTATATAAGTTGTAATAATATAAACGATAAAATTATTGACTGCTTTCTTGAAAAATTAGCTTTAAGTAACTAATAAAATTAAATCTTTAATTATATTTTGCATAATATATTAGGTTAAATAAATAATTAAACACACCAAAAGATTGAACCAGAAGTCACGTTACTTCAATACGTATTTGATTTTTTCTGATAAGAAGAAATCAAATAGGTATATTAGAAAAAGAAATCTAGCGTGAAACATATTGACTACTTTATTTTTTTATCTGTTGAGTGATTGTTCATATACTTAGTAATACAACTATGTAAATATGTTTTCACCAAGTATAATGCTGTGTCATTATATATTTATGCAATAACTTCATTCTATGAGCTACATAAAACGTTCGTAAATTGTTTGAGTGGTAATAATATAAACAATAAAATTTTTCAATACTTGAAATAATAACTTTACGTAACTGATAAAATTAACTTCTTAATTATATTTTTTAGATTAAACAAAAAATTAAACACGCATCGAATACACAGTACATCGCCGTGTTTGACAAACAAAATAATTTTAATTAAATCTTTTTAATTTATCGCAAGAATCTATAAATTTTTCTCAATATCAGGTGTGGTAGGTGATGAATACGCAGTGTAAATAGTAATTCATGTTTTTTCTCTTTTAGATTATATAAAATATCATTGTTAGAGTCATATAATTAGAAAAGCGTTGCTCTATCTTCTGAGCATTTACACTAAAGAGGGGCTCATATAGGTTCGAAATGCATTTGTGATTTGCAATAAAGGAGAACCTAATCTTATAGCAGAGACAAAGTCTACCGTGTTTTACTGATTCGGATTAAAGAGACATATACTCAAACTATAAATTCTTATCAATATATACTGTATGTTTCGGAATATCCTGCATACGAAAAGATTTGCTGTATTCTCTTTTAAAAAAGAAAATTTAAATGAAACAATAACATAAAATTTGTATATACACCTGTGTTATTACATGAAATGACGGTATGAAAAGATTAAGAGTTCTATATTATAAGATTAGTTGAGAAAACAACATATTAATTATTATATTACAAAATTTTAATTATTAATCAGAGAAAGTAATATTACATACCAGAAAAATGTACGAGAGAATACACCAACAGTATCGAATGGGTTACTTTTTTCTTTCCTCTCCATTCTCATCTACACTTTTCTATACACTTTTCATATGTAGTATTTATTACTCATCAAACCTATATATCTATTCGATAACGTATAATATTTATATTAAAGTGTAAAGGTTTAGCGTGTTATTTGTGTTCAGAAAACCTTGAAATTACCTCTAGACGTTATATGAATACGAAGTTAAAATTTTTGCAGCGCTATCAAATGTAATATTTCGTTTAAAAATAATATACTGTAAGTATAAAATAGAAAATAAGCTGAATTTTGAGGGTTAAAATAGATTTTTATATAACTAAACGTGAATACTAACAAACAAAACAAGTTCCTGATTAAATTTGACCCAACTGGAGATACAAGAGGACTTTTTGTCTCCAATCTCCGTTGACTTTTAACCACAAAAACTTAATAGCATCGATGTTGTAAATGTCAATTACTATTAAAATTTTTATTGTTTCATTCCACTCGAGACCTTTACTATTTTCTATTTTCTCCAACTTTAACCATAAAAATTTAGTAGCGTTAATTCTCCTTATGAACAACTTCTCGTAAGAAGCTGCTTTTATCTATCCTTTCGACAGTTATACATAACAGAGAAAAAGTCTAGCGATCAGACAAAGTAGCCCTAAAGATTATTATTGTACATATTAAACAGAGTGAGCCTTAAAACGGCCAGAAATGCAAAAAATTCAAAGGATTGTTTCTGTATGTATGAACGTTACTCTGTTTGAGGGGCAAGATTTTGTTTATCCTGTTTGGAGCTTATCTCGAGCAAGCCGAAAACCTGAAATGCCGTGAGGAATAATTTATGCGGCTCGCCCGAAGCCTTCGAAGTTTCCTTTTAATTTTAATAGGAAAGAGGTGGCTGATCATTGCTGTAATACATTTTTGTACACAACACAATCTACTCTGTGTTCGCTAGTTTCATACACTTATATAATTAATACTAAATATTTAGTAAAATTGAAAAATGATAAAATAATTATTTTCACTGGCGATACAAATTCACAGAGCCGGTTCTCGGCATTGGCAAAGTAAGCGTACGATTACGCGAAGAGTATGATTTTAATTGTAATTTTTCTAAACTGCATAATACTATGAGCGGGCCTGGCTGCAGCTTTTGCAAAGAAGATTCCCATTATTGTAATTATTAATTAAATCAGAGTAATCGAGGTTACATTAGGTAATATGCCGTTGAAGGGATGAGTAATAAAATAGAATTTTCGTACAGAGCAGGATACGTATATTATAGACTTGATTTGCAAGTAGATGCATCTTATCCGATGAGAAAACGCTGACAGATTTATATATAAACAACACTTTCACAACTACGCTTTGACCTATTTATATTAATCAAATATTATAAATACATTTTAACTGAAATATTTAATTTACATTGTATTACATTTGTATTTATAATTTAATAATTAATTTATATAATAATTCTTACGATTGTAACAAATGGTTTAAAAATGTACAAATATACAATTTAAGAAATTTACACAAAGAAATTAAAGTTTTGAAGGCTTCTAAACATTCCTTCATACTCGTTAAAACACAATTTTATGCGATGAAAATGTCCCTGTCATCCGACGTCACACAGGCGGGGAAATCCTATAAAACGAGATCAACTTAGATACGGTTGATTGCGTTCTAGAAATAGTGAATGAAAGTTTTTTTTGTATGAGTCTTAAATGTTGTATAATTTGTACTTTATTTAAGTTTATATTTTTTATTAGATTTTTATTTCAAATATAGACAATGGCACTCTTTTCAAACTGCAGTTATTAATTTAAATAATAATCAAATATCGACAAAAAAAACCCTATAAATGCAGCTTTTTATTAACTAATCGAACATTTTCGTCTATTTGAATGACTTTCTTGAAAAATAAAAATCTTTTTGTATTCCTGATGAAAGTCATTGAAATGGCGAAAACGTTCGATAAACTTGATAAAAAGATGCATTTGAAACGATTTTTTTTTCGATGTTAGATTATAGCTAATTTCTTTTAACGTTTGAATGTAGTTAATGACGACGAATTCGTTTCAAATAAATAACGCATTGGGAATGTTGTTAACCAATGTCTGTACCAGAACACTTACTGAAATCACTGGAATGATGTGAATGTCATTTTATCTGCACCGACCGTGAATAACTTTAAATTTCAAAATCGAAATAGTTGCTTCCTAGCTTTTACTTTATCAGCTTGTTATGTATATAACGTGGGAAAGTATTGGAATCGTGTCAAATTCGACCCTCCTTGTTTCTTTTTGGCAAATCTTGATGTTTTTGACATTCCAAATATTTACTTGGCTTAGACTTTTTTGGGGGGGGTCGGGGGTCCCAAAGTACGCGATTTGTAGTAAGTTACTTACATCGGTACGTAAAGTACGTGTCCGTGTTTGGATCTGTTTCGTTTGATATCTCGAGATGAGTTGATGATTAAAAAACGAAATATAACATTTCCGCTTGTATATAAAAAGTATCGATGCTATTAAGTTCTTGTGGTTAAAAGTCAACGGAATGGGGAGACAGAAATAAGTCCTGTTGTATCTCGGGTGGAGTCAAATTTAATCAGATACTAATAAACAAAACTTTTTTCGTTTATTAGTATTTACGTTTAGTTTTATAAAAACGTATTTTAACCCTCAAAATTCAGCTTATTTTCTATTTTATAACTACAGTATAACAGTTATTTTAAAAGAAAATATCACATTTAATAGCGCTGCAAATATTTTAACTTCGTATTCATGTAATGTCTAAAGGTAATTTCAAGGTTTTCTGAACACAAATAACACGGTAAACCTTTACACTTTAATATAAATATTATATGTTATCGAATAGATGTATAGATTTGATGAGTAATAAATACTGCATATGAAAAGTGTATAGAAAAGTGTAGATGCGAATGGAGAGGAAAGAAAAAAGTAATCCATTCGATACTGTTGGTGTGTTCTATCGTATATTTTTCTGGTATTACTTTCTCTGATTAATAATTGAATTTTTTAATACAAATAACTATTAAGTTATTTACTCAGGAGAAATCTTTTAAAACAAAACCCCTTTATATTTTCATTCCGTTATTTCATGTTATAATCCATGCATATATGCAAATTTTATATTATTATTGTATTTAATTTTCCGATTTCCACCAAATAGAAGCTAACACCGCGAATCTTCCCCTGTTTGCAAAATTGAAGAAACAATATATATTGATAAGGATTTATAAATTCTTAAGATAAATCAAAGAAATTTAATAAAAATTATTTGGTTTATCAAACACGAGATGTACTCTGTGTTCGATGCGTGTTTAATTATTTATTTAACCTAATATATTATNAGGTAGCAGTAACTGAAATATTGATGTCCACAACTAAATAATAACTAACTTACTTCTGTAGCAGATCGCCAAGATACTCTGAAGTATGATATCTTGAACATTTGTATAAATCTTCTTCCTTTAAAACTCGTTTTCTTCCCTCGTTTATTATTGGGAAAACCCAACTGAAAAAAAATAATTTAATTACTAATGTTGTCTACCGTAATTTTCTTGTCCTAATAATTCTGAAATTGCTATGATGGTACTCAACTTACCGTACAACGCAATGAACGATGTTTATCAACACAAATAATTTATCGTTATTGATTACAATGCTTACGATCAAATTGCTTACTTTGCTAAATATTTTTCCAAACACTGACGTTTTAAATTTTGATATTTATTCTTTTTAAAGTAAAGTTTAGAATAATTGTTCAATGATATTTTTCGGTGTTTATGTATAAAACAAATACATATACGTTCAATAATAAATATTCTAAAGCAGCGGTGCCCAACCTTTTTATCGCCGCGGACCGGTCAACGTTTGATATTTTACTGCGGCCCGCTGAGGAGGGACGTCGATTGTTTATATTTTAGATTGATTTAATTTAATAATTTTAATTTAATTGTATTTAAACCTGCCTTCGAAATGAAATATAGTTACACCAAAAATGAACGTTAAATCAATGAGAACCCTGAGCTTGTTTCTTTGCAACAAGACGGTTTCATCTGGGGGTAATAGGAGACAATGACACTCGAAGTGTGTTTCTTATGTCCAGTTTATTCCGTTGTTTTGTCGTCCATTAAAAGTCGCACAAACCCGAGAGAAATACACCATAGTAATTTAATGTTCCTTGGGCGGCCCGGTACCATTTGATCCACGGACCGGTACCGGTCCGCGGCCCGGGGGTTGGAGACCACTGTTCTAAAGAATTCGGCAACGACTTGCTTAACTTTTCCGGAAAGATTGGTGGCGCCATCTATTTCTTACTATAATTCATTTCCGAAACGGTAACGAGAAAAACGCGTGGGAAAATATTTAAAAATTCTCTACGTTTATTAGAGAGATTGCCTCCGACGTTTTGAACGCAAAAACGTGTATGTTGGACGTTCAGCGTTGCCTTCATGTCAGTCTAGAAGTTTGACAATGGCGTGTGGAACGTCGAACATGATTCCAGTGACGTTCCAAACGCCATTGTCAAACTTCTAGGCTGACATTGGAAGAACAAGGTGCAATTATTAACGCAATTATGTTGATGAAGTAAAGAGAGACAAATAAATCTGCACTTAATATGTTAGGAATTTATGAAACTAAACATCAGTTTAAAAACTTATACATTCAGCTACTCCAGATAGAAATGTTTGCTATAATTGACACGCCGCACATTTACAGAAAGACAACGCTGAACGTCCGACGTACACGTTTTCGCGTTGAAAACGACGGTCGCAACCTCTCTATTCTCCACTACATCGTGATAGCGCCATAGCTGACTAACCCACTTCACAAAGGTAATATATGTTGGTGTCGCAAACGGAACCGACATCACTATAATGCCACACGTTACTTATATCGAGGAACGGTGTACTATAACCTGTGTGTTATTAATTTAAACCAGAGCATAAGAAAGAATTGCGCTCCAGTTTCAGGACTCTGTGTATTATATATATAGGTTTATTCTTAAGTGTTTTAATTTACGGTAACTTATCATAGTAAAACTTTACGTAAACCATTGTATACATTCTTAGGGCGCACTGAGTTGATGCAAAATTTACCAAATGCAACATTTTCAAAGTGTAAAATCAAACATTGTGTTAGAGGGTGTCGACAGCACCACACTGATCATTATCGATCAGGTGAAACGTCTTGAGGGTTGGTGTAGAATCCGTTTTTTTAAAGAAATATATAAATTTTATGGTTTCAATTAGATTTCATGGCGTTGGTCTAGGTGCTCTAATTTTTATAGTATACTAGCTGCAAGGACCCGCTTCGCTGGGTTTTTATTTGTATGTAATATAGTTTTTTATATAAAATAAAAGACTGTTTTTCTGAGTAATCTAGAATTTAGCTGCAAGTAACCGCTTCGCTGGGCAAAAAGTAACGATACTGAAGATTAAGATAATTACATTATAGCCAATCTTACTCATTTTCACAGAATGCAAGAATTAGGTCCCCCGTTTCCAGACTAATTACAGAATTTTTACGTCCAGTCAAACGAACTATTTTCCATTTGATTAATTTTCTGGAACGTTTACAATCGTTCTATAACCGAACCAATTCGAATTTAAATTCGAATCCGGAAATTTTCATAATCGAAATAGAAAATTTTCCACTTTTAACCACTTTCAAGCCCATATCTTCCGCACTTTTATAGCTATCGAGACGCAACCACCATAGTGCACGAATGGAGACTTGGGGCTACTACCACATACAAACACCATTCATGTGCGATGTGTAGTTTTGGCGGAAAAGTGAAATATAGGGACATACACTTACATTTTTATATACATACTAGCTGCAAGGACCCGCTTCGCTGGGTTTTTATTTGTTCGTACATTTGTATGTAATATAGTCTTTTATATATATAAAAGACAGTTTTTCTAAGTAATCTAAAATCTAGCTGCAAGGAACCACTTCGCTGGGTTTTTAAAAAGTAACGATAGTGAAGATTAAGATTACATTATAGCCAATCCTTCCCGTTTACAGAGAATGCAAGAATTAGGTCCCCCGTTTCCAGTCTAATTAGAGACCTGGTTCCGATTTGATTTCTGAACGTCTCCTGTTCACGTCAAGTCAAACGAACTATTTTCAACGTTTCTGGAACGTTTACAATCGTTCTATAATCGAACCAATATTCGAATTTAATTCGAACAAATTCGAACAAAACATTCGAAATTGAAAGCCACTTTCAAAATCCCATTCATCTAAATATA